TGTTAATACTGTCTGTAACGGGGGCATCGCAGAGGCACGCAGAGCGGCCCAACCTGGATTGGTAGAATACGCACGCTGAAGAAAGGAGCATGATACAGCCAGAGCCAGGAAGTATAGTATTCACTCTCTAAAAATGGATAGACGAAATGACTATCCAAAATGTCAGATGAAAAATAAACTCCTTCCGGTAAACGCCCTTTCTTCCTTCTGAGAATCGAATTTTTAATAGAGGAGAATATGCGAGTTCCAGGAGGCAGTTCAGAAGAAGAAGATGCAATCACAGGAACAGGGGTTTTATTTTCCTGACGTTTCGGATTCCCTCGATAATCCCTAATCATAGGTTATAGTAGGAAAGTCGGAGCCATGCGCAGATAAGGGTCCGACTTTCCTACAATTACCTGTAATTAAGGATTCCCGAGGGTGTCCGAAACCTCGGGAGAATAAAACCCTTGTTCCAGTGATCGCATCTTTTTCTTCTGAATGGAATTTTCACTACTGTTAATGAGGTAGATCAGTGAACGTTTTGAGACATGCATAGAAAAGCCTTATCTTTCATACTAATCATATATGCACGGACAAATATCCCTTTTGTGAGAAAAAAATCAAAACTAAACTAACCGCAAATCATCACTGCTATTTAGTAATAAATTGGAAGGGACAAATAGTATTCGAAAATGCATGATGACAAGTGCATGCGGGTCAACACTCAGACATGCTGTTGTGATTCAGTGATCCTTTTCATGGGGAGATATTGTGTCCTCCTCTACTTCCTCAGGACAAACGACGATTCCGGGTTGGGTATCTGGCGTTGTTGGTTTTGTATCTGAAGTCTTTTCTGGACCGTTCGTTGCTAGTAAATATACGAGTAGAAGCACCCATCCCTGCATCCTTGTGGTACTTTATGAGAATGTTCATACACTCTAAACGAATTTTGCACAACCAGCAAGTCACGATGAGATTGGTGTATAATTTAGTGCACCCGACGCCAGCCAAATGCGTTGTATAAACAATACTTTGGTCGCTGCTCTTTTTAGATAATTTAGGCACCCTGTTAACCGTAGCACAGGCTGTGCATTTTTTGATGATTGTAGTAAACTAAGTAGCTTTTGAACTCCCTCCGCTCAACCTTTCTTCGAAACTAGATTTAACTTATTTCCAGGTAAACGTTGACCGCGGTTAAATGTCACTATTCCTGCATGTGATTCCTAAGAAAGAAAATGTCGCTACTTTCTTTCGGCAAATGGACTTTTTCAAGGAAAAGTAACAGAATGGTAGGCAGTCAGCAGGCCGAAAAATTTGACAAATGCGTATACTACAAAACTTAACCTTTAATATCAAGTCACGGAAGCTGGAACTCGTTTGAATTATCCCCATTTACACAGTTTTCACCTACTTCTGGTAGAATTAGTCACAGAAATGCTCGTTCATATTGATAATGAAAATATCCAACTTGCTCTTTAGTACGCTTAAGCGGTTGAAGTGGTGAATGAACTTCTGGAAGTTTTCTTCTTGCCTCCAATTTGTGAACTATACTAAAAGCATGTGTTATTTTCGACGTAGGACAACTGAATAGGGCTCAATTCCTTCCTTTCCTTTAGTCATGTTTAGTAATTTTTGTAGCATATTGCAACTTATGTTATCTCTTCTACTGCATACAGTTTGGCAGATGTTAGAAAACTTACTTCTTCCAATATAAATTTTTACTTATTTACAAATAGTTTAAACGACCGACATTTGATTTTATTGGTCTTTCGTAAACGATGTCATTCAAAAACAGCTACAGAAGAACTTATATATTGGTCTATTTAATATCGTTAATGAACAGTTGATCCAGCTTTGTAATCTGTATTTTTCAATGGATGACCTATCACACGCTAAGTGCCTACACTTAAAAAAGTTTATTGATCACTTGAAAACGAACACTACAAAATGTCCTAAAACATTTCAATAATAATGAAAACGTTTGAGCAAATTTAAAATTGAAAGGTAAAATGAAAATCTTGATTACTTTGTCTCGAGATGGCATATTTATCAAAAATTGGCAAATTTCGAAACATTCAAACTTCGCTGTAATTGTTTTGTTAAGGGAAATCATATCATAGTTTAATACTAGAGGAATTTCACTTTCATCAAAGTTCTTTATGGGTTTTTGGCTATCAGTTACGATTAATGTCAGATTTTCTATGATATACTGGTGAATAGTTCATCATTTTGGGTATTTCCAACCGATTGTCTCTAAATTTAGATTCTTTTCTGTCTGTTTATCAAAATCTTCGAAATAAGGTGTTCATTCGAACTATTTACCGAAGTAGTGCGTCCTTGGATATTCTGCTTGATGCAGATGGCCATTTTTGTCATCGTGGTAGACTCATGAAATTGTGAAAGTTTACTGCGCAGACAAAAGTCAACAATTAAATTAAAATGCTCTTTGGTACGGTGGATCTTTCAAAGGCTTTTTAGCGCTACCAGATCTCCGTGTAGTTTAATCCTTTTTGAGGTTAAGCCAAGGGAAACAGGCCGGTTTTCTGACTTCCCTGAACGTTTGCTTAAGTTTCTGCTGAATATGAAAGGACCCATTTTTCTCTTTTTAAATTGAAGCAATTTTCGTTATATTTGTTTACTATAAGATCCTGTTCTGAGATTGCAAATGCAAAACAGAATGGCGCGATATAGACCAAACTTTGCGGGGGCGGCTTATCTTTCGCCCATTTCGTTGTTAAAGTATACATAACCAGAAGCAATTTAGTACAAAAAGGTATGGTATCGCAGGTTTCAAATGTAACATACATTTTTCGAGTGGGACGATCTCCGCAGTAAGATATAAATCTTCTTGACTACGGTCCACAATCTTGATGTAATAAAATAAATGATGGAAAAACAATCTTCTTACAGCGTGTTAAGCCAAAGAATGTCCGCCAAAAGAAACAAAAACAACTTCTAAAGCTTAACTCTTTCCTTTTTTTTAGAAAACCGTGTGATTCATTGCACTGCATTTTTTGTTCCAGACAATATTCATTGAAACTGCTCTTGCTTATAATAATATTATTTTATGGCAAACCTCAAGAAGACAATAGGTATCCTCTGAGATATAAAATAGGACGTACCTTGGATAACCAGTAACCTAGACACACGCATAGATTCCTGCATTTTACAAGCTTAAGAAGTAGTGTCCTTTAATGAAAGACTTTTTTGTCTTAAATCCAGTCGAAAAACCAAATTCATTGGACAAAATGTATGTGAAACCCTACAGTCGAATCTATATCACGAAACTGTATTATTTAGGTCACGACCTGTATTTTATGCCAAAAATAAAATATTATTCTGACAAATATCGGTAAGAGCAATTGATTGACAAGCTTTACCTTAACAAAACTCAGGCAGCCGCAGTTTTCGTGAGTATACGCCCTTCATATCATTGTTATTGTCACTAGATATAGTAGCTTGAATCCAAACCAGGTGTGGCGATAGGCTTAGGGGTGGATCCGACCACGCCAACCACCCACGCCCTCTTCCGCCTTCACTATTTTTGATTCTATCTTGACATCGGGTTCAGGCAGGTGAGAAAAGAGGGAGTGTGGGAGATGCAGCGCAAGTTTACTATCACTCTAATACAATTTATTTACAAGCCACCGAATAGGATGGCTGTTTAAATCCGTTTGTAGGTGCGTGAGTTAATAAAACCTTTAAGTTACAGCACAAAGTAAAGTGAACAAAGCTAGTAAATTAAGTGAATGAATATCAAATTATTTTTTCGGCAAAAGAAGGACAACCGATAAGAGGTAATCGCGATTTCTGCAAGAGGAAATTGACTCACCTGACGTTTAGAATTCATATTTGAACGGGTCATTAGAGAACATCAGATGGGGAAATTCGCCGTATTTATAGGTTGCAGGCGGTATGTGACCGCCTACTTATCAAGGTTAATGACTCCAAGCGTCATCGATGATGGCTTGATGGCCGACGTTCCAGTCGTTAACCGTCATAATTTTTCCGATGTGGACGTGATCATTAATCGACTATTCGGCTCCCCGACACCGGCGCTGGTAACAGTGTTTGCACAGTGCGCTCGCTGCGCGACTAATTAGCCGGTCAAGTTGATGTCTCTGTACTCGGTAATTAATTAGGGGGGGGGGCAGAG